GTCAAGTCAAGCCTGGGCCACGGGAGATGTATTAACCAATCAATAAACTGCACAAGGTTACTGATTGGTATATCAGACCGCAAAATTCTAAATGACCCTAAATTCCATATATTGTTTTTATTTTATAGATTCATTTATTTTATGTGTTTGAACGCTTATATGTTCATGTATGTATGTCTGGTGCCCACAGGTCAGAAGAGCTTTGAATCCCCTGGAACTGGAGTTATAAGCAATTGTAGGCTGCCATGTGGGTACCGGAATAGAAACCAGGTCTTCTGCAAAAACAAATGCTCTTAGGCACCGAGCCATGTCTCCAGTCCCCATTGGTTTTTAAAAATTTAAAGCCAGGCATGGGATTCCAGTGCTAGGCAAGCAGAAGCAGGTGAATCTCTGAGTTCAAGGCCAACCTGGTCTACAAAGTGAGTTCCAGGACAGCCAAGGCTACACAAAGAAACCCAGTCTCAAAAAAAAAGAAAAAAATCACTGTGTGTGTCTGACGGATGTGTATATATTGAGTGTGCATCTGTCAGCAGACTACTTTATGGAGTTGATTTTCTCCTTACACTTCTACGTGAGCTCTAGGGATCTGATCCAGATTGCCAGGATTGTATGGAAAGTGTCTTTACCCAGTGAACCATTTGGACAACCTCCTAATTTGATTTTAGACTTCACTCCTCATAACAGGCTTTATATGTTTGTGTTTCTGTATGTGTGTGCATGAACATTCCTTTATGTACGCTCATGCCTATAGTGGCCAGAGACTCACAACAGGTATCTTCCTCGGTTGCCCTCTCCACTTTGGCACAAGCGTGTGTGTGTGTGTGTGTGTGTGTGTGTGTGTGTGTGTGGTGTTGGGTATGAGTTTTCATGTGCATATGTGAATGTATATAGTAAGTGTATGTGTGCACACCTGTGTAGACCTGTGAGAGCATGTGTGTGCACACCTGTGTAGATCTGTGAGAGCATGTGTGTGTGCACACCTGTGTAGACCTGTGAGAGCATGTGTGCACACCTGTGTAGACCTGTGAGAGCATGTGTGTGCGTACACCTGTATAGACCTGTGAGAGCATGTGTGTGTGCACTCCTGTGTAGGCCTGTTTCTACCTCTATCACTGTCTCTCAGTGAGAACAGCTCGCTATTCAGCTGGACTAACTGACCAGCAAGCCCCAGTGATCTCTCCACACAGCAATGAGACTCCTTCCCCTAAGGATACTCTTATCTGCACTAGGAAACCTCCTCTGATTTAATTGATAAGTCAGTCCAGTGGAACTAAGTCTGAACAGCCAGATAAGCACCCAGACCAGGTTCTAAGCAAGGGGAGGAGGGCTCTCCTGAGTGCACTTTCTTACTTGTAGTTAACCTTGGTGAGAGATAAAACGACTTTGCTGCTATGAACTGAATTATGCCCCACAAATCCATATGCTAAAGCCCTAATATTTGGAGATAAATCCTTTAAATAAATGAAGAAGCATTAGAGAAAGGTTAAATGAAGTCCTGGGGGTAAAGCAATAATCCAATGATGGCTCTCCTTCCAGGAAGAGGGCAACGGAGCCACACATGGCAGAAAGGCTACGGAAGGATACATCAGCTGCCGCATGAAGAAAGGCCTCAGTGGAGCCTGAGCTGCTAACACCGTGACCACAACGATGAGAAGATAAACCTTTGTTTAAGCCATCCAGACTGTGTTGTTTTTGTTATGGCAACCTCAGCAGGCTTGGGACCCTACCCTAACCCTGACAAGTCAGAGCATGTAGTGACCCTGTGTAGGAAGACCTTTCAGGCACCACACTAGTCTCTCCCCGCCAAGTATGCCAGGCCAGGCTTCCCCTAGGCCTGCATATCCTCACTACATCTTAATCCCTTCATCTCTCATACCTCCCTACTGGTGTAGGAGGTTCTTCTGTTCATGCGTTGCTTTTATTGGTTAATGAATAAAGAAACTGCTTTGGGTCTGATAGGGCAGAACTTAGGTAGGCAGAGAAGACAGAACTTAATGCTGGGAAGAAAGGCAGAGTGAGAGTGGCCATGTTTCCTCTAAGACAGAGGCTAGTTAGAATCTTGCCAGTAAGCCACAGTCACATGGTGTTACACAGATTAATAGAAATGGGTTAAATTAAGATGTAAGAATTAGCCAATAAGAAACTAAAGCTAATGGGCCAAGCAGTGGCCAAGCAGTGTTTTAATGAATACAGTTTTGTGTGTGGTGATTTTGGGGGCTAAGCTAGCCTGGCGGCAGGGCTGAACAAGTGGGCCCTCTCTCCCTGCAACATTGTTTTCACTTCCTTTGCTGAAGTTTGGATCTTCAACGTTCCCCAGAAACCATGCCTCTTAGACTTGGCCACCAGCCTACTGTCCCACCGGGAGGTGGCAGAGCCTAAAGAGGTGGAGTCCAATGGGAGAAGTGAGGTCACTGGCCATGTCCTTAGAGGGGATACTGGGACTCCAGTGCCTACCTCTTGGTTTACCAGCTGCCATTAGGCAAGGATTCTTCTGCTACACACCAAACATGAATAAACTGTGCAAGTATCTATGGGTTGGGAGTTCTCAAATGTGAGCAAAATGTTTGCCTGACTGGGCTTCTTCATACGTGGGCTTCTATCAGGTGTTTCTGCACATGTGTTCCGTGCATCTGACTGTCCTCACTTTTTCTCTCACCTGACCACCCCTTCCTTAATCCCTTGAAGAGCTCTGACTCTTCCAGTCTTCAAGACCACCAGAGCGTCTCCTCCCCACCTCAGCCAAACATGCCAGCGTGCAGCAGCTTCCCCTCTGCAGCGTTCACGATGCCAGCACAATCGTCCACCCGTAGCAGGAGCTACAGAGACAGGAGACCACCCATGTGATGACGAGATGCTGCGAGGTAGCTGACGATGATCTGGAGTCTGCAGAGTCGCCAGCTTCAGGAGGTCCTCCCAACGTGACCACTGTCACTTCTGCCAACTAGCTATAGACACAAGTCTTCCCGGAAACCCTTCAGCTTTAGTAAATTGCAAAACAAAACTCAGGAAATAAAAACACTGTATTTATTATATTTTATCACAAATACAAATCAAGGGCTTAGTGATAGAGCAGCGAACACTGTACATCCACAAACTCTGGGTTCAGTCCCCTGAACTCCCAAAGACACACAGAAAATATGACTAAATATACAAACCAGCACCAACTACCCAAAAACAAACAGACATATGTGTGTTCACCAACCAGCGTACAAAGTTCTGGTCAGGGTCACTATATAGGGATAATTGGTCGAGATCATGGGCCACTCAGCTGAACTCAATCTCTAGCCTTGTCCCACCCTGACATTCAGGCTGAGATCACTCTTCAAAGTTCCAACCATCAAAACATAAAGCTGGTCTTTCTAGGGGGCTGGTCTTTATCCCGCAGCAAAGTTCAACAAACCCTCCTGTGCTCTGAGGTTCCGACATGAATAATACTGACATTTCTATTGGTTTTTTAAAAATTTTATTTTATTTTTATTTATGTATACAGTGTTCTGCCTGCATTATGCCTGCAGGCCAGAAGAGGGCACCAGATCTCATTACAGATGGTTGTGAGCTACCATGTGGTTGCTGGGAATTGAACTCAGGACCTCTGGAAGAACCTCTGAGCTATCTCTCCCGCCCCCTGACATTTCTATTGTTGAGGAAACCTCAAAGTTCCCTCTCAGGAACTGAGACAGCTAATTTTTAGAATGCTGGAGATGACTTGAGTCCCAGGAAATAAGGAGACCACATGCCCCTCATCAAGGTGGTCCCACGTTCCCACTGTAGCTTACTCCCTAGCCCTTACCACACATCACCCAACCAACCACTTAAGAGACAGAGGAGACATCAGCCTCCCCATCAACCCCAACAGTGCCCCAAGTACTTGATGAACTACTGGACAGGCCCCCTATCAAACCCCTGCAGGTTGGCTAGGCTGGCTAGAAGTCTCATATACCCCTCCCCAAGCTACCTGAGAAGTTTCTGCCAACAGTGAATAGAGGAGGGAGGGAGGGAATGTCCTAAAACCAACATTCTCCCGCCAATGACACGCAGAGGGAAAAGAGAACCAACGTGAGAAGGCTTAGGGGTCTTTAATGCTTAATCTGAAAGTCACAGGTTGAAATTTTCCTAACATTGGCTTCCCCAGTAAGGAAAGGTCTTCAGGGCGGACAGGGAATGCCCTCATAGTGCAATGGTGCCCCAGCTCAGAGAGAGGCAAGCGGGAAGAGTGTGTGGTGGGCACCACAGTCTGCCTTTTGTAAAGCACTCTACAGTGTTCCCTCAGTCCTCACACCTCACACCAGGGGCAGGAGGCAGAAACCCCATTTTACAGAGAATCTTGAGACTTAAAAAAGTTGTTCATAAGCAGGTCAGGCAGGGTGGCACATGCCTATAATCCCAGCATTTAGGCAGAAGATCACCAAAAGTTTGCTGCCAGGTCGGTCTTTAGAGAAAGTGCCATGACAGTGAGACCGTGTCTCAAAATTCAGAAGGGAACAGGATATGGTGGCCCATCCTTTTAAACCCAGCACTCAGGGCAGAGGTGGAAGATTTCTTATGCGGTCAAGGCTGGATCTTGTCTACACAATGAGTTACCGGCCAACCCAATGAGACCTGGCTTCAAATTTTAAAACAAACAATAACAAAAACAAAACAGGAGTTTTAATTTTTTAAGACAGTAGTAGCTCTGTGTAGCTCTGGCTGTCCTGAAACTCACTGTGTAGACCAGGCTGGGTTTGAACTCAGAGATCTGCCTGCCTCTGCCTTCCAAGTGCTGGGTTTAAAGGTGTGTGCCACCACTGCCCAACTGAGAGAGGTTAAAAAAAAAAGTTCACAGGCTTCACAGGGGAAAGGGGAATGAAGATCTAGATCTTTCCTAGTCTGCCACATATAAGTGTCCCTTGGATCCAACCTCGGTCTCCCTTAAGAAATTCACTTTTTATTATTTGTTTGTTTCTGAGACAGAGCCTAACCTGACCCTCCTGTCTCTGAGTGCTGGGATTACAAGGGTATGCCAGGACACCTGGCTCAGAAGCTCATTCTCAATGTGATGTCTGTCCTGGTCCCTGGGAGGAGAGGAGAGAAGCCGGCTAGAGGCAAGTGTTCTGTAAGGATGAGTAGGGATCAAAGATTGCCCTCTGGTTGGGGAGGGGGAGCTGTGGAAAGGACAGATTAAGAGAGGTCAGACTCAATCGATCACACTTAATGCATGTGTGGAAACATCACACTGAACCCCACTAATACGTACAATTAGTGTCAAAAAGTCTGAGGTAGATCAGTGTGAGCTTTCCTAGTGTGTATGAGGCAGTGCCAAAAACAATGCCAATAAAAACAAAACAGGAAAGATTAAAATTATCTTTCCTCCAAAAGTTCAAATATGACCCCAGACATCCCTATCAAGGACCCTCTGCACACAGAGGTCCCCAAGGAAATGGTGTGGCCAGCGAGTGCAGAGGCCCCCTCTGTGGACACTGAACAGAACAAGCCACTGGAGACAAAAGGGTGAGGCTCAAGGGAGGAGAGCTGCCCACCCTGCGCTCAGGATTAGACAAAAGCCCAGAGTGATTCCTCCAACAGGGAGCCCGGCAAAGCCTGCGTACAAGGTGATCTCTAAAGTGTGCTAGGCCTGGCTGAACACTCACTCGTAAGCAGAGGTAGGAGCCCCAACTCTTGGAGTCTTTCCCTGGCTGCCGCCTCCCAGCCCTTGTTGGCCTGTGGGCTTCGCGGAGAGGGATGCAGGAGCCCCTCCACCTGCACCTCTGGAGCCAGTCCAGCTAGAGCTCTTCGAGCCCGCTGTTCTGCCAGCCGCCCCACTCCCACTACCAGCCGCACCCCTAGCCGCTGCACCTGCCTGCACAGGGCTGCTTCGCAGATCGCCAGTAGCTGCTCCCGCTGCTTGGCCGGCAGATCAGCGGGGGTGAGGTTTCGTCCACTGGGAGCCAAGAAGAGCAGAGGACACAGATTGTGGACAAAGCAATGCCGGAAGAAGACTTGGGGCTGTCCACAGAGGGCCCGGAAAAGGCCCCAGAATCGGGCTCCGCTCACCTCTGACTGTGTGCACTCCAGTCCCAACACTGGTCGCTTAGGGTGCTCTTGGGGAGGGGTCAGCACAGAGCCCCCAATGCCCAACCAGTCCCGGACCACATTCACTTCCCCAAAAGGTACCTGTGGGGGAAGGAGAGAGACACAAGGTGATTCCAGCTGGAGATGGCCAGGCTGTCATGATGATCTCACCCACCTTTACCATTAAGTCTGTGAGGGCCTCCCGGCCCTGTGGTTTGCCCCCTTCCATGTTTCCTCCAGTTTTTCCCACTGTGAACTGTGACCAGCAAAACCCATGTGCCTCTACTTTCCCCTGGCACTAGGACCACATACAGGCAGAACACTGGGACATTTGCCCGACAGGAGGCATGATTGGAATACTGGTGACAGATCTCCTGAAACAGAAAGCTGGCCAGGGTGAAAGGAGACAAGCCAGGCCGAGCACTGATCTCTGGGTGCCCTCCCAGCCCAGGCCTCAGGCTGTCATTCCCATCGATCATCATTGATCACCTTTCATCTCTTGGCTGGGGTCAATAAAAGCGATTGAGCCTTCTGCCCTGGGGCTTCTTTACCTCCTCCACCTTTAATGCACCCCTACTGAAACAGTCACCCAGATCCCTAAGAAGCAGGCTGGCCTGCGCCTGACGCTGTTAGGAACTTTTCAGAGACCCAGGGGCTGCCACCAGGATGGCCAACAGCTCCTACCCCCCCCCCTCCTGCCCACTGTCAGTGTTCTGGGAGGATCTAGCAGCCCTAGCCTCTCTCCTGACTCCAACCACTCTAGGGACAAGGTAAGGTACAGGGCAGGATGGCGGAAGGGAAGGTTCTCAGAGGCAATTAGTGGAGTGCTCACAGGGGAAACGGGACTGCCATTAATGTGCTTGGTTAACTATGAACAGAGAAGCAAGGGGAGTGCTTGAGACCACAGGAGCCTATATATGCTCTGCAGGAGAGGGAGTGGGTGGAGACCACAGGAGCAGATATATGCTCTGCAGGAGAGGGAGTGGGTGGAGACCACAGGAGCAGATATATGCTCTGCAGGAGAGGGAGTGGGTGGAGACCACAGGAGCCGATATATGCTCTGCAGGAGAGGGAGTGGGTGGCCCACCCACCTCCCAGCCAATTCTAGGTTCTTCCTCTACAACAGGCCCAGGCAAACCTCCACCTCTGAACCGCCCACCAGAGGAAGCCAGGCCTTTACCCCAGTCTGGGCCATGCCAAACGGCCCTGGGTTCATGCCCAGGAAGAGCACTTCCTTTGGACCTTGGCAGTAGCGGGTCACGTAGTTGCGGTGCGGCTCCCAAGCATAATCCACTGGATTATAAATGACACCCACAGGCTCTGGAAACTGCAGCTGGTGAAGCTCGGCATTGAGCTGAAGCTCCTCCTCCAAGAAGCCCTCAGTCAAGCTTGGAGCGCAAGGCAGAGGCTCCATCAAAGCACCTGCAGGTTCATGGGTTGGCCCAGGCAGGAAAGTCGGGGACACAGCCATGCCACTGTTACCTGGAAAAGAAATGGACAGAGTTTCCTTCAGGCTCACCCCAGTATTGGGATCTGTACTAGCTAGCGGTTCTCACTGTCGTTTCCTGGCTCAGAAGAGACCCTCAGAAGCTCTTGTCAGTTACTACAAGCTCACTCAGGTTCCTGGGAATGAAGGGACCTCTGCTCCCACTTCCAGAGTCCTCCTTTTTCTGATACTTCAAGCATCCTACATTAGCTACTTGTCTCACTGCAACAAAGTAGCTGCAATAGCCACTGAAGGAAGGGAGGGTTCATCTCATCTCTCAGAAAGTACAGGCCGTCATGGCTGAAGGAGCTAAAGTGGTTGGTCACACTGCAGTCAGAGGCAAAACTCAGAAAGTGATGAATGCCTATATCCAACTAGATCTCTCCCTCTCCCTCTTCCCCTCTGCCCCCTCGATGCATTGACCAGGCTGGCCTTGAACTCAAGAGTTCCTCCTGATTCTACCTGTGACTAAAGGTGTCTTTTACCACACCTGGCTAGAACTCTCCTTTTTATGCTGTGCTGGTTTGTTTTTATGTCAGCTTGATACAAGTTAAAGTCATGCTGAAGAGGATCCTCAGTTTGAGAAAATGCCCCGCCAGACCGACCTGCGGGCAAGCCTGTGCTGCATTTTCTTGACGGATGACTGATGTGGGAGGGCAGCTCACTACAGGCAGTGCCACCTCTGGGCTGTGGATCCCAAGAGCTATAAGAAAGCAGACTGAGCCAGGTGGTGGTGACGTGTGCTTTTAATCCCAGCACTCTGGAGGCAGAGGTAGGTGGATGTGAGCTCGAGGCCAGCCTGGTCTACAAGAGCTAGTTCTGGGACAGGCTCCAAAACTACAGCGAAACCCTGTTACAAAAAACAAAGGAGAAAGAGAGAGAGAGAGAGAGAGAGAGAGAGAGAGAGAGAGAGAGA